TTATATTTCAATTTTTGAGTCAAAACATATTAAGGTACGATAAAATATGAGAGTTTTTTTTGTTTCGGTTATAAATCGAAATATAAACTTTGATATTAGACTTTTGTTATCTTAAGGTAGTTGGTGTATTGGAGAGGAAAAGGCTTCAAATAGATGTCTCTTCTAAAGAAGTTTCACTATATCATGGGAGAATCTTCATTATTAAAAAACAATATTTTTTTTCACCTTTTATATCAACTATATGTAAAAATTAATTATTAACGAGGTAAAAAGTAATATATAACATCGTTCAGAATATTAGAATACAAACTAGATAAATATAGAAATAAATTATACAAATATATGTGTATGTGTAAAACAATATTTTTTTTCACCTTTTATATCAACTAATATATAACATCGAAGTAATATATAGCATCGATCATAATATTAGAATACAAACTAGAGAAATATATAAATAAATTATGCCAATGCGTGTGAGTGTTTGTGTGATGATAGTATTATTCTAATATGATATATAGTCATTAAAAACTATTCTAATAAAGATTAATTAACCTTAAATTAACCTACTAATACAATAATAGATCCATTTGTATGATATTAACGCTATTTATAATACAAGTGGGTCATATATGACTCTTGAATTATTATAATCAACAATGAGCTAGGAATATATAGAGGATAAGGTAATGGAAGAAGCATGTATGCGTTTCGTTATACCGGGGGACTCAAGTGTTATTATGTTATTATTTTTATTTTGTAGATTAATTTGTTATTTTATGTATCCTACATTAAAAAATGTGTTAATAAATTAATATTTTGAGTAAAACATGCTTCTCGGTATTTTTAAATTATTTATATACTTAAATATTTAAATATTTTCTCTTAAAAATGATAAATCATGTTAGGAATATGAATGGAATATAAGGTCGACAATGTACATCAATAATGATTTTTATATGTGTCGATACAAAAGTATATATGGCCTAAAATCGTAGAGTGTAGACATGAATGTCCACACCTTTGTGAGGGGCCTAAAGATATATAGGAAAGTTTTTATACAAATTGTCTCTTCTTCAACATGTGACAGTTCCTTTTCATTATCTACGACCACGGTTAATTTTTTCACTGTAACTAAAGTGAAACGTGGCCTTTTATCACCTACTAGGATGATCACATTTCTGACATTAAAAAATTATAATACATTATTTTTTAAAAACAATATATTAAATTATATTTTTTTAGTAATTTAAATAGTGAATTATTTTTTTCTAAAATATTAATAATTAGCTAAAAACATTTAGAAAGAAAAAAGAAAAAACAAAACATGTAACATCAAAAATTTAAACTATCAATAATACTATCAATAATCCCATCGTCCAGGTCATTTCATTATCTTCCATTGCCTCCACCCTGCGGTACAATACACACTCATCAACAAACAACATAAAAAACACATAATTTTGGCACTGATTCATCCTTTTTGTTCAAAATAATGTTGGATACACACTGATTTCAAGTTCATACTGCAAAAGAGAACTAAGAGTGAAGAGAGAGGAGCATTTCCAGGTTTTTATTAAATTTTTAAACAGGACAAAACTAGGGTTTATGAGTTTCAGGGGGTGCAGGAAGAAAAAGAAAAATTCAAGAAGAAAGGGCTCCTTGTCATAATTTGGGTGAATCAGTCCATAAGAAATAGAAGCCCAAACTTAGATAATGAGCTAATCACACTGTCCCATTAGGCGTAATTAGTATTTGTAAATAGGAGCTTTGAAAACCGAAGTAAATAATAATAATAATAGTAGTAGTAGTAGTAAATAGCAATACATGTATTTAATGTCTGAAAGAGTAAGTGTAGAAGGTACAAGTAGTGAAATGTATGTTTTTTTTTAAAATTTGTGGAATCTAAAGTTCAATCTAAACCCTGGCTAATCCCAACTAAACACCAGATGTAAGGGCCAAGTAAATTTATAAAAAGGGCCATTGGGCCCTATGTGGGGTAGCTGGCCCATCTCTCTAAGTCAATCTGACCTTAGGAAAGAGCTCAGCAGATTCTAATTTTCTGAGCTTCTCTCTCTCTAAAAAATTCAAGCCCTAACTTTCTCTGCCTTCTCTCTACCAAATCTTGAAATTTGACCGGTGCATTGTCATTTAGGTGGTGATTCTGCGTTCCCGGAGTCGAGAGCTTCGACTTGAACCGATCGGTTTCGCATTCTATAGTGGGTAAGTGGTTTTGCCCTTTTCCTCCACTGTTCTTGAAATTAGGGCATGCGATTTTGCTCTTGCATGTCCCTTGTGTATTCTTCTTTTCATTCCTTGCCCTATTCTAGCTCTAAGAGTTGTTGGTTGTCACCAATGCGGTGATCTGTAGGTCCTGTTGGGTTCTCCGCTATGTGGGGTCCTGTTTAAAGTATTCTAGCAAGCTGTACTGCTCAACTTCCAGGTAAGGGGAGCTAGTTACAATTTTAGATGATATATGATATGCTTGTCTGATTTATTTTGCTTTTTACTGTTCTGTTGTTTTGGTGATGAACATGTTTAAATTGTGTTGGTTGAAAATGAAGAAATTGTGTGATCATGCTGTACTGATGTTGATATGAACTGTGAATTGGATGATTAGGAACTGGTATTGATACAATGATGTGATAATTTTGAATGCTTAGAAGAAATGAATTTTGTTAAATAATTTATTAGGACATAACCATGTGAATCATTGAAGTTTATAACCTATGAAGAGAACTAAGGTAGTCACAATCTGAATTTTGTATTTCAAGTTGTTAGGATCAGTTTAGATAACTTGGGTAAGTTAATTGTGACTCATTAGGAGTGTTAAAAGTGTTAAAAATAATTTATAAGTGGTAGATTCAGAATTGAGTACCTAGGTTGATGAAATTGAGGGTTTAGAGTTTAAATCAACATTAAATCACTAGATAATAAGATTAGGAAGTATTAGAATCAGCTATACAAGTTTATTTCGTCATACGGATCAAGTTTGGAGTGTTAGAAACTCATTAAAGTGTCTAAGATGAACCAAAACCAGAAAAATCACGTTGCTGTCAAAAACTGATAAGAATAATCGATTATCTCACTTGATAATCAATTATTTTAGTCAGAGAGTTGTATCCTCTTCAAAGCTCTCGCAAATAATCGATTATCACATATGATAATCGATTATTGTCGTTGGAAAATCATCCAGGACAGTTTTGGGTGGTTTTTAGGGTTCTGGATGTGCGTTTTGGATGTTCTTTAGGTCGTTTTAGGGGTTTTGGACCTTTCCGGAACTGTTGGTCATGGTTTCAAAGTTGTTTTCCTTGTCTAAGTATAAGTTTAAGGGGTTTTGTGTTGTTTAGTGGTTCTTCTTGGACTGTTATTGCCTATTAATGTACATGGAATGGTTTCATGTGATTTTTGATGACTTATTAAGTTGTTTGTGGTCTTTTGAAGTATAATTAGTATTATATCTATGTTTGTATGCAATGTAAAAGTGAAAGTATGTGATTTTTGAAAAGTATGATGGATTGACGTAATTCCATGATCTTCAAGGAGAAGATTCATGGTGGTGCAGTAGTGTTTAGAATGATCTACAGGAAAGCTCAGTCTTGGGGGTTATCCTGACGCTCAAAATGGTCTTTCATTCTCAAGTAGAGAGGATTGAACCATGTGGTGAGGAGTAGCAGGAGGTCTTAGTCTTAGGGGCTTCCAGTATGCCTCAAGGCCCGGAACAGGCTAACCTCGTGAGTGTGGTAGGGTGGGGAACCCAAGTTTCATAAGCCACCACGAGTGCATGACCCGCCATAGCTCGGTAATCATTCTAAGTCCGGACGAGTCAGGTCTAGTTTATGACATGTTTCTTGGTATGATTTAACTTGCTTGGCTTAAAGTATGTATTTGATGAAATTGTTTATTTTAAAATGGTATGCCTGCTTGTAAAAACTAGCTCACCCTTGCTTGCTTGTGTTTGTGCATGTTGTATGTGTTTTCTTTTGCAATGATCATCCAATTGGATGTGAGCAGAGACGAATGAGGTGCCTCTAGAGCAGGCTTTGGAGGAAGACGATGTTGTTGCTTAGTCTCCTTAGAGTTCTATAATTGTTTCTTTTTTTGGTATTTGGAATTACTATTCAGTTGTTATGAATCCACCTGTGATTCTTACCCTTTTGAAATACTTCATTTGCTTAAGTTTTAAATTCTGCCTCGTTTTGGGATGACTGTAAGCTTAACTTTATTTACAGTCTACTCTACATGTTCTCTCTTATATAAATGTGGACTTACTATGTTATATTTTCATATATAATTTGGGATGTTACACCAGATGCGTGATTCAGAAATATTTCAAATAACATGTGTTGTGATATATAATTTGAAATTGATTATGAGGAAATTTATGAGATGAGAAAAAAAATAATTGAGTACAATTTGATATTCTTGAGTAGTGATAATTATAAATAACTTGTGGTCATCATTTTATTAGTTAAAGTACAATCTTTTTCTTATACCTATATTTTTTTATTTAATCAATATAGAAATTTATCATTCAAATTTGACATGTCAAGTACTTTTACAATAATATACAGCACATGTAAATATTCTAATATTTACACTTACATATATTGCTTGAAATTATAATTATACCTTTTCTTATTCCTTTAAACATTTTGTTTGCAGTTTGATTCGTATAAAAATATTATTTCAATATTTTTTATTTTATTTTACTCATTTCACTATGGGCATTTTTATTTCTATAATATTTTTTTATTCTGTTAAAATAGAATAATAAAAACAAAATCATATAAAATATAAAACCAAACAAATTTATATAAAAACCAAAATCAAAATACAAATTTATCTCAAGGACAAACATAATTGATTCAAATATTTATTGTTACTTTACAATACAATACAAGTAACACAATACATCAACTACTACCAGTCATGCATCACCTTCCTTGGAGATTCTTTATTCATTTTATTGTTTATTTTTGCTTTAAACTGTCACACGTCACGCCACCTTCAAACTATGATACGAAACATTGTAGTACGACATAACTATGATGCTTCGATCTATAATCTACTTTTTAGGTAAATTTTTTGCTGCTTCCAATATCATCTGCAGAGATATCTCGAAACATGACTTGAGTTGGTATTCATCTATGAAGCCTTCTTCTACTCCAAATCCAACTCTTAAATATCCCATGTAGCTTGTTATAGTCACTGTCATACTCTGTAAATCCATCACAAAATATGTTTCACAACATTAGTACCAATTCACATAGGACTAAAATTTAGAGAATACAACATCCTCTTAATCATGCACCAAACTTTATATTATTATGTTCGAATAATTGATACTATTATATTTTATTTATTTTTATTTTTATTTTTTATAAAATTTTATTTAATTAATATTTAAAACAATTCGGAGAAGGATAAGTTATATACTTTTGTTTATAGAGATGAAAATCAGATAAAAGTTCAATCCTACTAAATCTGAATACGAAAATAAAAACAATTTTTTTATTAAAAGATATAGTTCAAGTCATTTAGTATGGAGCAAGTATAAGATATTTGAATTAGTTTAGTGGATATATTAAATGCATCATCTAAAGAAAGATTGACCTAGCAAATAGTTAAAAGTTATATTTAATACCTACAATATTCACTAAAATTTTTTATTTTGTCTTCCAAAATACCTTAGTTCATTTATTAAAAGTAGGCCAATTTCAATCTTTTCATAATCAATTCTTTCTTATAGATTCAGTGTATGGGAGAGAGACCTGAGATAAACCAACAGTCATGAAGTAGAAGCCTTTGATTGGATGATAAGCCAAAGTCACTTTCTCTGCTGGCCCTACCATGTGTGATATGCTCAAACTTGCATTATTCATTATCTTATACATGTAGTTCGTAGCAGCCTACAACACCAAGTAATTAATACAAACAATTCTGTCATTACTAACTTTAACTAAATAAAATAAGACAACATTAAACTTGATTAATAATGCTCAAACTTACAATATTGATTAAAGAGAAATGATGCATTAATTAAACACGATTATTTCAAACCTGTGGTCCTTTGATTTGGTTCAACAAGCGTAAAAGCACACCAGTCATTGGTACTGCCAAAGAATTTCTCTGTCTGTTGATACTTTTCTTGGCATCTAACACAAACTCCAGTGGGTTCAATTCTTTCTTATCACTTATCATGGGCACTGGAACATGCATGAAGTGGAATCTGTTCCCCCAAGGTGCCTTAGAATTGGTAGCATGCATCTCCTTCGCTGATATGTAAGCCCTAATATTCCTGGTATTCAGCAGCACCAATGCTGTAGTCTCAGCAGTTCTTGATCTGTGATTCTTTGCCTTCATGTACAGTTGAATGCCAAAGAAAATTGCACCAACCAACACATCATTTACGCTCTACATGTGAAAAAAGAGAGTCAATGATATAATGAAACAAGATGAAAACAACACTTGAGAAACTATAAGTCTGAACTTACCACTTTGAGTTTATTTTTGACTTCTTTAATGTTGTCCAAAGAGAGGGAAACATTTACTATACTCATAGGGCGAAACCCTACATCTTCATGCCCTGACCTTAATGGTGTCTGTTCATCTGGTATCAGGCTGTTTTTCAACAAACTCCAGCCAAAATCAAATGCACTCTTGAACATAGAGGCAGTTTGAGATAACTGTTTTGGCATGGCATTGGTGCTTGTTGATGATTTGCTTGAAGGAAATTTTATTTGAACAGAAGGATTATCAGCACTTTCTACTATCGAAAGGAAAGTTGTCATGAAAGAGTAGCCATCTCCAAGTGCATGATGGAGCTTAAATATAAAAGTTCCTTCACATTTGCTCGTTGGATACTTAAATAAATGCAATTCCCAAAGTGGTTTATCTTCTGGAAACTGTTCCATAGCTATTTTTGACATGTATTCATCAAAACACTCGTCATATGATTTGAGTGTTCCGTTGGTGGACGTAAACTTAGGAATCTTGACGTGATCCTGTAGGTTAACATCAACTTGTTTCCAAACCTTTTTCCCATTCTTGTCAGCAACCTGTTCAAGTTATGCACTAATAATATCAGATGATATTTTTCTTTCATGTAATATATAGATATAGATACATAATAATAAATTATACGTACCATGATAGAAGAGAATCTGGAGCATATGGGAAGTAACTTGTTCTTAAGCAGAGGTTGAACTTTTGAGTCGTCAATTGGAATCTCAGATTCAGCAACAGCAATGACAAACACGTTTATCAGAGAGCTGCTGAAGTAATCTGCCATAGGGCTCAGAGGCACTGGAACATCTTCTTCAAAGCAGTTCATCTTTTTTTCTTATATTTTTGTTTTCTTTTGCAAACAAACCTAATGTTTCTGTAAAATAAACAAGGAAAGCACGAGTCTATTTCAGAGTCTCACGCAGTCCTATTTATAACCATGCACTGCATGCTATCAACAATGGAGCATACACCTATCAGCCATGCATTTAATGAATTTGGACTAATTTTGAAAAAAAATTCTTCTAATACAATTATATCATCTACCTAACAACATTCAAACCTTGAAAAACAATGTTCATGTATATATTAATACATAACTAATTTTTTTTAGAAAAAAAAGGAATTCACTGTGCTTTATTTGGCTAAAAACATTATATTATCAGAATAAATCTTTATTTGTAATTTTAAAGAGTTATATTATTGATTATAACCACTTTTTTATAATACTTTTACAAATTATTTTTTGTCAAGTCCTTTTATTTTACATGTTTTAACTTTTTAAAAAACCTTATATAATTTCATTGAATATTTCTCTAATATATATATATAACTGTTGGCACTTTTTTCTCCATGAAAGAACAGGACAGAAATTCCGTATCCATGTTTGGATGTTTGGACGTGTGGATGGATTAAGCTGAAGCGCACATGTATTTCAAATTTCATGTGAATCATCACATTCACATGTTAAGTAAAATTAAGGAACTCTAATTTTATTTGGTAGGTATGGAAACATTTTTTTTCATTGACTCATGTGTTTTTTTTTAGTCCACAAACTTAAGTAAAATTACAAGATAATATATTTATTTGAAAAAACATGTATGTATTGCAACAATTTCTCACTACCATATTTCATGTCAATTATTAGATAATCAATTTTGAAAATATGGTTGATTAATTTTAAATTGTTTATAAACTAGTGTGTATAGCCGGTGTTATGCACGAGATTTTTTTAATAAATCTGATTTTAAATTTTTTTTATTTAATCTTCTTTAATATTTTAGTATGATTTTGTAATTGTTTATAAAATATATATATATATATATATATATATATATATATATATATATAATTATATGTAGAATTAAACTACTTTTTCTTTTTATAATTTATAAAAGAGGATAAACCTATTTGGTATACTACATCTATTTGGTATCTTTATTTTTTCAATTCCATCCTTTTAATTACTATATTTTAAATTTAAATAATTATTATGTGAGAATCATTAAAAACGCACCCAAACCCCTTTGAACGGACGTCAGGTGTCAAGCTGAGGGAAATCAGATAGTGGAATGCAGGTGTCAGCAGAGGAGCGGACATTCGTTTTAAACAAAACTGATTTTTCTGAAATTCGTGTCACACCCTCTGCATGCACTCTTCTTCTCCAAAACTCTGATCTTTCATTTTTCCTCCTTCTCTCTAAAAAGCTCTCCCTTCTCTCTACCAAAACTCACCATTTCTCTTCTCCGATCACCGTTCAGGCACCGTAGAAGCATTTCCGGCGTCCTGAGCTTCATTTTGAACCGAATAGTTTCGAGTTCTGAAACTGGTAAGTTTCCTTGTCTTTAGCCATTCGTTCTCTGGTACATGCAAACCAACTTTTGTTTGCATGTTGTCGTCTTGTCTGAGCCATTGTTGGTTTTTCTGTTGTTTGGTTAGATTGAAGAGTTGTTGAGCGTCGAGAGTAGAAGAATTGTAGTCAGCCGAACCATATTTTGTCTAGGACGATCGTTCACTCTCAGAGGTAAGGAAAGCTTATCTAATTTAATTGTATGTTTGTTTGCACGTTCGTTGATAATGAATGCATGTTGCTAAGTGGTTAAATGTATATAAAGTATGAATGCTGATATGCTTGTTTATATGGAATATGATTAATTAGTATGATATGGATTGTACAAGTATGAAAATTGATTATGATATGAATTTATAAAGTTACGAAATTTTGTATTAAGAAATGAGTTGGAGATAAATGAATCCTGGATATGAAATTTCCCTATAATAGTGTACGTTCGTCATTGAAATGTCATTGACCGTTCGGTAATATTAGTAACCTTAGTTAAAATTGGATTCTTTCATTTGGAAAGAATCCTATTTGAGGACGAGCGTCTTAGTGTGGTAATACTATGCTTGAGCGTTCGGTCAAGCGTAGTTGCATCTGAGTATTCTGTGATGAACTTAAATGTTGTAAATATATGTATTTGTATATTTTAGTTATTCTTAAACACTATTCCGATAAAATCTTATTATATTTATCAAGCTTTCTATTATAAGTCAGTAGTGTTTGGTCTCAGACCAAGCGCTCGTGCTGAGTATTGCTCGGTCTTACACCAAGCGTTCTGGCTAGCTTCTTTATAATCTATCTGGAGGAAAATAGTGTTCGTCCAACTTCAATAGAATTTCCCTCTACCGTGTTTGGTCATTGACTGGCATTAGGTTTCTATATGTGAATTATTCTAAGTATGGTTCTTTAAACGTCTTGACGTGTCTACATTCGTTGGTTCCGGTCTAAAGCTTTAGTACTTGACATGTTCTTTGAAGTGTTGGTTTGAGCTCACGAGAGTCAGTTCATTTAACTGATTCATGTTGTAAGTAACGTTCGTTCTTGGGTTATATAATTGTACTCGGTTTCTTTCTCAACCTGACAGTAACCCTCTCGGTCTTATTCTATTCTGGAACGGGAGACTTCTCGGTCTCGTTCCAAGTGTTCATCCTCGTTCTAAGTGAGGATTGAACGTTCGGTATTTGATGTCCTTAAAATCGGTGAACAAAGATGAAATTAAAATGATGGATAATGAAAGATGAAGAGAATATAATACAGTTGAAATGTGTCGAGTTATGGACGAGCGTTCCGGGGAGGAACGACTCATAAATGAATATTGGAATTTGTAATGTATGAATGTGGTTATGCTAAGCTGGCGGTTCATCCTGATGTTCCGTGAGTACTCGTCCTCACGTAGAGGGGAGTAGGTCATGTGTGGGAAGGGCAGGAGGTCCTAGTCCTTAGGGTTACTTTGGACAGATAGGACTAACCTCGGGTGGCAGATGATGAGGGTATTCCAATTACTACATCACCCGGGTGCACGAACGTCGTAGCTACACAGATTTCATACAGTCTGGACAGTCAGTCTAGTATTAGGCCTTGCTTGAAACGTATGATGAAATATATCTTATGTGTTTGAATGTGAGAAATGTATGTTTATACTTGAATTAAATTATATAAGCTTACCCTGTGTTTTTCTGTCCTGTCTTGTTTGGTACGTCTGTCTTTGTCATTGCAATGATCATCCGTGTGGATGTGAGCAGAAGGAGACGAGCTGCTGGAAGAGGTACTGGAAGAAGAAAATTTGGTAAAAGTAGAAGTGAAGACTGAAGAGTAGGACGTTCGGTCAGTAGTTTAGTATAGTAAGGTGGTCGTTCGATCACCTCCCCTTTTGATTTTATTTTAACCGTTCGGTATAAGTTTTTGTAGACCGTTGGGTTAAACTTTCTTAACCTGTTTAGTTAATTTTGTAACTCTTTTATGTAAGGTCATTCGGCCATAAGCGTTCGCTCTACTCTAGTGTAAGACTGATCTGAATTATTATTGAATGTACCCCCTGTAACTTCTGAAATTCTCTGACTGGCAGAGAAGTTGAGACGTTACAGGGGTATATGCCGCGGTTCGCCAGAGAACCGCGGCATATACCCCCTGTAACTTTTCAAATTCTCTGACCCAGTCAGCACCTGCAATAAATTGGCAGGGTATATGCCGCGGTTGTGCAGAGAACCGCGGCATATACTCTGTTATTTAATTTTTTATTCATACGTGGCGTCAAAGGCAATGGTTGACTGGGGTATATGCCGCGGTTCCCAGTAGAACCGCGGCATATAGGTTCGTTTTATTTACAAAACTGCCACCGCGCACCATTATGCTGCGGTTTTCGTTGAACCGTGGCATAATGTGCGCTGTAAAAACCCGATTTTTTACTAGTGTGTGATTATTCTACTATATAGTTTTAAACTGTATTTTTGGGATGTTACATATTCATAATGAAATAAAGTACTTTTAAGTTTTAACATTTTAGTAACTACTCACTAATGATAAAAAATAAAATTTATAATGACTTATTAAGTCAAGTGTAATCCATAAATATATATATATATATATATATATATATATATATATATATATATATTTGAATAAATATTTTACATAAAAAATCTTGGTCATCTTTGTCCTGACATAGAAGTTGTTAACAGGAATTTTAGCCTCTTTTTTTCAAACAAAATATATTCAAGAACTTACAAAGTACAAAAAAATTATGTAATTTTTGTTTTCAAATTTACTAAAATAGTGTAAATTTTTTAAAAAATTATAAAAATAGAGAAATCATGTCAATTTAGTACGATTTTATTATAAAAAAATTATATCAACTTGATATCACTTTGGTGTATTATTATTTTTTAAAATTTTAATTGAATATATAGATATAAACTAAAATCATGTTAACTTGATAGATTTGAATGTGTTATAATTAATTTTAATTTTAATTAAAATTGTGTCAGTTTGGTACAGTGATATAAATCATATGTTTCATAAGATAAAATTATATATATCTATGTTCCATAAAAAAATTGTTACAATCTATCCATAGCTATAATTTGAAGAAAAATGTCCCTATAACGTAACTTTAAATTAAAAATAAGAAAATATGTAAGTTTCTTTTAACAATTCATTAACATGTAAACTTTTACCCTGTCAGAAATATTCAATGTTAACTACATAGAAAAATCAAATTTTGCGTAATCACAATATAGTTGACATTAACCCATAAGGCATAATTAAAAAAAAAAAAAAAGCAACGAATATCAATGTAATTCTTAATTTCTTTTTAGTGTTTTTTTTTATAGAAGGTGGTGATAGTTTTAATTTAGAAAATATTTGTATTTTGACAAAATGTTTTTGTGATTCATATCTACTTGTACCTTTAAATGGGATTCTATATGCTGTCCACGTATATCTTACCTGTAACTAAATATTCGGTTAGCATTTGTTGGTGTACTATTGATGACTAATTAATGGTTTATGCATTTTATTCATGTTATTAATTATAGTGGACATGGCGTA